TTAAAATTGTATGCAAAGAGCAAACCTTCCTTACTTTATAGAGAACGATGCATTCCTAAAATATATTTCACACATCAATCATGCATTATGTTTTATAATTGACATATTAATTCGATTTTTTCTCATTATATATTTGCTTTCATTTTCACTGAATTTAATATCGTGCTTCAGCTCATCTCCATGGAGTTCACCAATTGAATCCAGGCAGCCCAAGGGCGCATTGCACCATGACAGGCCAAGAGAATGCTTCCACCTTTAATTTTCAAAGCGTAGAATTTCCTGCCTGATATTAAGCTTCAATACTAAAAATATCTCTGTTCACAGAAAAGCAAGTTTAACTTTTATGTAAAAAAATGATGTGCCAAAGCAAATCTATATATTTTTAAAAAATTTCGGTTTTATGATTTTGTTTGTGTTTTGGAAATCTCGTAATATGCAGTAAATTTGCCAATATTAAATCCATGAAAATGTCAATTTGAATATTTTTGATATGGTTAAGCTTTAGTGTTATAAGTACCGTAATTGACGTCCAATCTAGCTAAGAGTTGTATCAAAGTAAGTGGCCGCCGTAGTGTGTTTACCCATAATTGTTGTTTGCTGGACTGCGGCCGACGTCCAAAATAAACATCTTATACAGGAGCCTACCATCAAACCTCCCGGTTTCAACCTTACACGCCGCCAATAGTCGACCATCAACCGAATCGGGACCGGGCATAGCCGATGCAGCCACCTGATGCACAAATGGCGCATCAAAGATTCGGTGGCCTGCGAGTGCGGCCACGAATCCCAAACCATCGACCCACATCATAAACACTCCACTGCTGTCTTCACTCCTTTAAAGGAGGAACGGACGAGATCCACTCTGCATCTGAACAGACAATTGAGTGGACAACAAATCGAAAATTACATCTTGAATCTGCTGCTATTATTCGATACGAAAGAAGAAGTTGGCCAGATCAGCCATGGTGGCCAGTTTCCAATTTGCTCGCCAAAATTGTGTAAAGTACAGACTTTAACAATTTGCCTGCTCTTAATCAGTGCAGCTAAAATCACTCACATCCACTTGACACGCTCTACAAAGTAGTGTGGAGTGTTTTCAATGTAACATTGTACTCTGTATATTTTAATACAATCAAATAATGTATGGGAACCTGCCATTGTATAGTAGGTTACATAGACAAAATATACATCCCATGGACCGCTATTATGTTTGTCTTTATAATTCCAACTCTCCAGCCTCGTAATTAAAGATGCCCCCATCGTGAGTAGGAAATCCATTGAAGGCACAGACTAAACTGACTGTTGATCGTTGAAGGACTTCGAGTGTAATACAACTAATAACAAGAACACTACCCTTTAGTTACCCAGGACTATTTTATCACGAGGTTCCTGAATTGCGATGTTTGGCCAATTACATTCTTAAACGAGTGCCTGTCGTGTGGGATAAACTCAGAGTACGTGGAGAAACCCCACAGATATGAGGGAGTGACACTCAACGCTCTCAAGGGAGAGATATTCAAGAATATATTGCTTCATTGACATCTCCTGGCCATCTCACAATGGATGTTGAGCTTTCCAAAAAAAATGGCTCTGGCAGGTTCGTTGTTTCCAGGGTAATTGTAGATTTCCAATGGAAATAATCAATCTTGGAGGTCTGGTGTTTACTGCATCAACTGCCGGATCTAACAGGACGCGTTGGCGAGATATACTCGCAATCATGTCTTGATTTCGCTCTTGAATCTTGAATTAAGCATGCTGTAAGCCTCTGCTTAGCATGGCTGGCCACGTACGGTGCAAAAGAAGTCCAGCATACATAAAGGCCAATAGCAGCCACAGCAGGACAGTGAGACCATGGGTTATCAGCATCACCAAAGGCAGATGAACCTTCAGTAGGCTAATGACATCCACATCAGGGCGGTGCGACTCTGAGTAATCATAGCCTTGGTTAGCAGAGGCAGGTAGGTGAGCCTCCAGTTAGTCAATCACACTCACGCACGTGGGAGATGAGTGGCTCCCGCTCGATGTCCTTTCGATCACTAACTCCAATACTGTGACATGAGATAGAATTACATTTCTATCGCCTTGATTAACTTGGCGATGGCTGTACAGAGTAAGCTGACCCAATCTCCACATTTGAAGAATAAGAGGCTGGTGACAGGAATTTGGCCTAATTGTTATTTATTTTTTAAATCCAGATTAATAATACGATGCTTTGTGCATCCCAGATTGATAATTGATTAGGCCAATGCAAAGTTCACATTTGGCACTGTGCAAATTCTGTACCAAACAGGTAAGGCAAGTAACTTAGCCTTAAATGCACAAAATTATCATCTGCGTAGCCAGTGAAACTATATGGATTGATGAGGGAGAGTTAGGAGTTACTATATGATGACAGCCTCAGGAGTAATGGGTGAAAGAATGAGGCATCAACATGCAAGTATACGGGTTGTCATCATAAATAAGGTGGCAAAGCATTTTGAATGGATTGTTATTACAATGGGCTTTGAGCATTGTGATGTGGGAGTTCAAGAAACCTATCTAAAAATGAGATTGAAGATTACGTCTTGAAAGCAACAATTATAGAATTCAGTGCGTTGGGTACGATACCCACCCATGATGTTCTCTTTTTGGGAACGTAATTGTGCAAGTAGACACCACGTATGATGAGTGAACAGACCTACTAAACCACCAATGAGTAGAAGATAACTCATCAACCATGACTACAGTATAATGGTAGGCCCTCGTCTTGTCGAGCCCATTTAGGTAGAGAAAGACCATATATATGTACAGTGCCAGCGACCAGACTCATTAAATATATCCTTGCAGGAATAACTAAAAGTAGAAGAGAGTTAAAACTGAACGAAGCAGTGTTTTTACTAACAAGAACAACTATTGATGTTATGAATCGCGCATGAAATGATACGTTCGTAAATTCCAAAGGAATTCCTATTCGGTGTATTAAAATCGAAATCTCTCCTCGCGGCAGGCACACTCAAATCCTTAATTGGTAATATTTTGGGAAGCATTGGAATCGATGGACTGTTTTGTAAAATTAAAAACAATAAAGTTATGGTAGTGAACTCAATTAGTAAAAACAAACAAAATAAACGCGAATTTAGAATAACTATCACATGTGGTTACTCTGGAACACAAACATTGTTTCTGATTGAGAACCTGCCTCGTAGTGCGTATGTGGAGTGCATCTGGCTGGTTTAAACTGTTACAACTATATTTATTTTAACAGGTAAGGCTCACTGAGATATATTGCTCTTTTTCAGAAGCGACCTGGCCACAAATGATAGCTAAGCGAAATGGCTTATTGGTTAATTTATAGCAGCCAAATACTCTAAATGCATGTTTCTCAAATGGGGAGGGAAAAACCGGCGGACCAGGAGAAAAATCCACGTGACCACTGGGAGAACATGCAAACTCCAAATTTACAGGTATCTGGGTCGGGATCGAACCCACAACCTCCTGTATACCAGGCGTGATAGGAACCCTGACATGCTTGGGGTGTGTCACTTTTATGTGAATGCCACGTGCACACTGCTGGAAATGCAACGTGTATTGTTACTAATGTACAAGATAACGTAGCAGAGGGAAAACCATTTTCGGATTTCAAACCGAGCAAGAAAATAATAGAGGGGTCTTCCACGTATTCGAGCCTTATGGCTCTAAAGCGAAGGAGTCGTTTATATTGTAAAGCCAGTGTGGAAGGGAGGGGAAGAGTAATTCACTGCTGGGAGAGAAGGGGGCCTGTGTGATTTGTGGGACAATGGGAGAGGGTAATTAATGTGCAGAAAGGCGCTATAGGATTGCCAATTGGCTGAACTAACACAGGAGGGAGTAGGGCCCTGAATGTCTCTCTCTCTCTTAGAGGGAGGAAGCACAGGTCTGAGTGACTTACAGTGTGACATCTCTGTTACAATGTGAAGTCCACGAAAGCAGCAAGATTCAGTGAGGACTGCATTCCAACCAAACCACAATAGAGTCGATTTAAAACCGGCTCTGTGTATTATAAAAAATAGAGAGTGAAGCTTCACTCACTGGACTGGCTTACCAGCTTGTTAAACTCATCACCCACACCCACCATCGTGTTATTTATCCCTTCACCTGTATCAGTATATTTTTGGACAGTGATTGCAGCGCCACTTGTGAGATTTTTTTTTTATTTTGTAGGGGGGGGGGTTGCTATGGTCCAAAAGTGCATAATATAGCAATGTCCTAAGTACAGTTTTGAGCATAAGTTGAGTGCCCCCCCCCTCCCCAGATGGCACTGTGTTTCCAGTCGGTTCTCAGCAGGGATGCAGCCACATGGTGGATGTCTGCGGAGATCTGCACCCCTCCAAAATCTTCTTGCACTGGCTTCGTGCCCCAAAAGCATCATGCATTTAAACTGAAACAGACATTCTGGCAGGACAATCGCCATTCATCTGTTGCAAGTGCAGTATACGCAGACGCACGTACTCTACTTGTATAGTATATATACTCGTGGTATAGTTAATGCACGTGCAAATTTAAGTGCAATGTTTATAGCGTATTATTTGTAGCCAAATATTTAATTTGTAAAAAAAAAAACGAATTGTGTAACCGTGCGTGCAGATGCTTGTACGTACCGTGTTACCGTTACCTTACCGTGTGTTCATGTGCCCGTGGCTGCCCCATGAATCTAGGAATTCCGTTAATGAAACGTTCACGTGATTTACGTTGTTCCGAAGACCCCCCCCCCCCCCCCCCCACTTCTCCACACCGCACCCTAACAGCACTCTCTTGCCTCCCCAGCTCCTAACACGGTACGTGTGACCCCTGTGTAACTTTACTGAGCAAGAAGCCCTGCGTGCCAAATTAATGGGCCGTTAAAGAACCATCGCCTTCTGACCCTTTTGTGTGTGGACTATATGCGGCTGTTAAATATATATTTATTATAACGCATGGCAACATCCTTTCTGCGTGGGAATACGTGGGGTTAATCGCTGCTCCCCCACCTTCCTATGTTACAGTTGTGAAAGCGCTCACGAGGAGGTCAACCGGATGAAAGCTGGGACGGACAAAGGTCCTGCTGAAGCCCAAGAATTCTTCTTGTGACCATTCTCTACAGAGCCTGCCTGGTTTCATCGTTGAATGCACTGCTAAGCCATGACCCCTACAGTCATTTGGTCTTCCAAGTGGAGATGTCTCATGGAATTTTAACATCTCAGTGGGCTAAGTTATGAAAAGAAACGACAACGGACTTGTACATTTTTTTTTCCGGAGAGATTGAAAGCACATGTTGGGTGACATTGACGATGTTTGACAATTGCATTTTTTCTTCACGCCATTAACAACCCCACAGTCTTCCCAAAGAAGTGGTGCTGTACATAGAGCGCGTACCAAAGTTTCCCAGAGCCACTACATTCAAAAACTGCCGTCGACACAACGATGTTTAGATTCATGAACTCCGTGACCTGCAGAAACCCAGGCACTCACCTGGTGACACCATGGAAATATTCATTTTGAAATATGGTACCTGCTATGTGGACTGCAATTTTAAATGACACCGGGTTTGCTAGGATTATGAGAGACTTCAAATGTACAAAAATGTAAAAATAAACCCACAACAACGTTTAGACACTTTGTAACATAAATTGTGTTTATTTTTTACATCAGGTGGACTTTTTTTAACTAGGTAATGTTATAGCTCGTTATCTTTTTCTAAGGCTTCTGATGTAGCAGCACTGCAGCCTTACATTTCCAGCTGCAGTGTATTTTTAAAAATGAAAATTCTAACAAGGACGAAAAGATCACTTCATTTTTTTTATTCTTGGCATGTAATGCAATGCAACATTTTTTTCTAACTATATTTAACAAAGGACTTCAACTGTATTATTAAATGTATGTCTTTTTTCCTTTCGTTTTAATGCTTCCTGACTACGGTTGAAAGCATTTATACTTTATTTCTGTCAGTCCATCTGTAATGGGAGGGGGGGAGGCATTGTGAATCTCATAAAGTTGATCCAATTCGTATAAAATCTTACTTAAAAGTTGCCTCGCTATAAGCCACCTAGCCCGAGAGAAACCCGGACTAAATCGATCAAAAGGGGCTGACCAAAACGTGACGATAGAAAACCGGCGCAAAAAGGTTCATCTGTGCCCACCAAGGTGATGATGATGATGATGTCACGTGTGATGTGCGCGCACCTTGCCCCTGCTTCCCGACGGCACCATTAAGTGTGATGCCGTCTCGCGACATCACATGACGTGTGACGTCATCTCGTTGTGTGGCTTGGAATGTAACGTCATTATCGCTAATTCAATACTTATGAGGGCAAACGTGTGTTTGAAAAGCGCATTCAGGATCCATGCGCATACATTATTTTTCTCCCTTGTATGTTTTCTTCGATGATGGTTCACTGGCCATGACAGATGATTTGTGTAGAACATACTTTTTTCACCAATGGGTTAATGCACTTGTAACTTCTGGTATAAAATCATATATTTTATTATGTGAATTAGCCAACATGATGAACTACGCCATTTCTCTTAGAAGATAATAATTTATGATTTTAACAAATAACCCATGATTGCAAACAACAAAAAAGGATGGAACTTTTAAGTCTACTTGCATTTTACATACAATAATTACTTTAATCGGGTTAGTTGCAAAGTGGTGACAATTTTTTCTTCTGGGTTATGAAAATAATAATCCACTCCCGAATTTATATTGTGCAATATTCATCGGTGGCCATGGTGTGTCATAATTTACGTCTGATAAAGCTGCAAAGATCCAGGTGACAGCTTAACACCTTCTAATTCTGACAACACAAAGTACTCGATTAGAGTTGGTGGTATGTTTGTAATCTCATCGCCATATCTGTAATCCAACATATTTTTTATTATTGCCAACAAATTCCTGTTGTCTGCCTCTTTGTAGAAGCATTGCTGTATTTGTTTAATGTTTGGCTGTTGTGAGTGCAACACACAATCATTTACACACGACTGCTCTTTCAAAGATCAGAAGGCCTCAATGTATTTGTACTTGTGTAATACTTCACAATGCACTTAGGGGGTCGGGCCTCAAATATACTAATACCTAGCCACCTGATAATAGGTTTTTCCCCTAGCAACAAAACAGGTGTTAAGATGTTAAAACACCAAGCTGAAACCTCTTACAAGGAATCATGTCTGCATTAACCACAATGCTTGTGGTCAGAATGCAAACAAAAACATCTGGTCCACACCAGAGACAGCTTTCTTTTGGGCCTCGTCTCAAAACGGTGTTAGACCAGAGGACGCCAAAACCTAGCCGCCTATTATTTTAGAGGGTAAGCTATGGAATAGATTTACTTGGAAATCTTCCTTTTGACACTAATCCCATTTAATACCACACAACAGCCTAACCTTCATAAGCCGGAGCATATGACTCGGGTGTAAGGTAGAGTACCACTTGTTCATGTTGGCACACCTAATCCCTTGTTAGAGCCCAACCTGTCAAGCCAGTGGGTAAACATCAGACATCAAGATACAACATTAAGTGTTTGTTATTAACATTTTGAATCATTTTTGTTACAATTTTTTTCCAATTTACTGCGATGCACTGACACACGATATTTTACAGAAACGTTGCCTAGATACGGCTACGCTCAGGTCTACCAATCGGCTCGCATTGCAATGCGCTGTGGCACTGGCACCACGTGCTGCAAATGCGGTTTGTTTTCTCTAACAGATATCTGTGGCTCGTCGTTCATTTGCGTTTATTGGCAGGCAATACCAAATCCAGGTTCGCAAAGTTCACACAACCAGATAGGTAGCACCTGGAATACATCACGTCTATTTAATAATATCGACTGCTGCCATGACGTTTATGGTTTATGTCAACATCTTATGCCCCATCTTCAGTCAATTTGGGGGCAAAGTCACAAATATTGCTCAGTTGTAACCGTTTAGCAGCTTCACTTAGATCCAGGCAAATTGATTTGAACTGAGGGCAATGAGCAATTCTTTAAATATTTGATTTAAAGCTTTCGTGACTGCAGGGATTCATATTCTTGGTTCTTTCGGTAAAGTCACGTAGAAGGGAAACATTTTATTTTATTTTAACATTTTATTGTTTTATATTTTTATTATTTGATTCTTTCCCTTCTACGTGACTTTACCGAAAGAACCAAGAATATGAGCAATTCTTTGTCACACCTGCCAAATTTGTCTTTAATGGCTAAATCTGTGGATCACGATTTTTCTTAATTAACTTACCTTTCAGTTCAACATATAAAGCAAAAAACGTTGCAAACTCTGAAGAGTGGCTTTTGTTCGACCGCTTAATCGCACACTTAATCTAGCTTTGGCCAGCACATTGAGCATCACCTCGTCATGTGACAGGGACTTATCCTGCTGTTCAATGTAGTTTCCAAGTTAAAAGCAGAATGCTGGACAAACAAGCATCGTTCAATGTATCAACAGTAGCATAATAATGATGAACATGGGGACAACTATATTTCAGTAAATTAACACAATTATAATTCAACCATCCGTGATTAGGTGTCTATTTTGACAAATTACAACCGAATAATTAAATAAAATATATGTGCTGGTTCTCCAAGTCAGTTGGCTCCGTTAAAAAAAAAAACTTGCATTTCGAAAAGGGTATTTTGTTTTCTGGTGTTTGGTATCGTTTGCTCATCCTTCACCGCTTTTGTTTACAGAGTTGAAGTGGAATGGCAACCATCTTTCAATCAATAAGTTGTGGTTTGGTGACCCTGCCTTTTCCCAATGAACACAATGTGTGCGTACAAATAACTGTTCAATAGCAAACGTACGTTAAATATTTTACGAGCTTTATTTTTCTAGTGGGAATAAAATGCCACTTCTCATCTCTGTGTGCCCTGGCCTTAAAAAAATGAATACAATACAAACGCTATATTATAATGTCAATGCCCAGAAATGGTGTCAAAAGTGTTACTACATAGAAGTAAATTATTTGTATTGCAAGTAGTTATGAACAGTTTAAATTATAGAATTTCTGAAAATATCTTTGAAATTTTGGCCACATTTAAGAATAACACGTGTTACGAATTTATTGAGACAAAAAAATTAAGTTGGACTTAAAAATTCAGAAAGGTCCATAAACCAAACGTAATTTTTTTCCTCTTCATGTCAAAATATTATTTCTAAACACAAGTGATGTTTGAACTACGGTGTTGCTGTAACACAATTGAACAAGATATCTTGATATAACCTTTGTTTTTGTTATTCCTGATAAATTGCCCATCGGTATTTGGATTATATTTATCAGTGGATGTGTCTATGTGCTAGCTCTACGGTTCCCTAAAGGCAAGCCACAAGGTGCATGTCTGCAGTTTCTTTATAAAAAAAAACCAAGCGAAGATGCTGAAATGTGTTTTTTTGACTTTCCACCTGTATATGTATCACATTGTAAAATATATTGTTAAACTGCACATGTTTACGTGTTTCATTTTTCATGCAGTCCGTATATAAAATGTCGAAAGTGAAAAGTCCAAAATATCACTTTTAATATTTCAAAGATCAAAGTTCAAAATCAGAGATCATGGTCAATGCTATTGATACCACCACACCCGGCCATCATTTCTTTCTATTTGACAGATCCTGCAACTATTGCAAATCAATACCAGCCTCCGAGGTTTTTTTTTACAACCCCTTGGACAATTATGGCTGAAGGTCTATTTCAGTGGCTCTATCAGTAACCATCCTCCTTCACCCTGCAAGCAAGCAAGCACTTTCGTATCATCTAGCCACAGTTATAAATAATGCTGGTTCATTATGAGTGACGATAGAGTGTGCTCCACAACATTAAATTTCAATAGAATGCAACTCAAACCTTGGTGGGAGCTTGGTTCGAAAAGGAATCCTAAGAGGCATATACATCTGCCCATGACCTAATCGCCTGGAATGCGCCAGGTCTTGTCATGTCAGGTCAGCAGGGTTGTAACTTGGAAATTGCTTGAAGACCACCATGAACAAACAGGTTGCCATGGGGCTTGTGGGGCTACATGGTGGGCAGTGAAGACAAATCCATCGATGTACAATTCCATTATTTTATACTTACATGTACCTATGTTGAACTTGTTTCGCACCATACGTAGCCAACCGTGCTGTGCCTTTCACCAGCCTGCACTGAATAACATGGTGAAGTATGGTCAAGTAACACGACCCACACAGATGTGGTGTGACCCACATCCAGCAGTGCATTGACAAAAGGGCTGTACACGTACATACATCTACCACAATTGCTAGCCATGCTCAGAAAGCACTCGGGGGAGTGCAACTCACCATGGTATCTCCATGGCAAACAAGGCATGGGGCGAGGTTTTCATTCAGCAGTGTATTGACAAAAGGCCGTAAAGTTATATACTTTTACTAAATTTACTTCGCATTTTATTATATTTATATAGCGCCTTAGCTCAAGGCACTTCACGTAACTTTAAAAGCGGTAACAAAAATCGAGTGATTTAGATGGCAGGGACATGCAAAGGCCGAGTAATGAGTGACCGCAGCAGAGGACTCGTGGGGGTCACGAAAGGGCAGGCGAGGCACGGGACGGAGTGGAGGGGCGAGGGGAGGGGACAGGAAGGGAATGGGCAACGGAGAAGAGGTGAAGCTTTGAGAGAGAATGGAAGGAGGTTAAGGAGAGGGGCTGCTCATGTACAGGGGACGTGTATTCCAGTGTAGGGGTGCAAGGAAGGGAGAATGATCAAAAACCAGATTGGGCACAGGGAGGAAGGACAGAGAGACAGAAGATTGTGAACGAAGGGGATGAGAGATGACATAAAAGAGATGAGAGAGGCAAGATAAGGTTGGTAAGGCCATGGAGACATTTAAAGACGAGTGAAATGTATTTGAAAAGACAGCGATAGTAAACAGGAAACCAGTGAAGTTGAAGGAGAGGTAAAGTGTGAATTAAAGATGAGGTTGGAACGGAGTGAGGGTGCAGCTAGGGAGACCAAAACATAGTCCAGACAGAATCAGAATATGTATTTATGCTGGAGGAATCCGATGAGCTATGAATCTCTTTTTCACATATGTCCAGACGAGTAAAGATCACAGCATGAACCAGGAGTGAAATGAGAGGGCGGATTTTCCAGACATTGAAGAGAGGAAAGTGGCAGATGCGAGTACTTTGCGGCGATGTGGCTGGAAGAGGTGAGGGGAGAGTCAAAGAGGACACCACGGTGGAGGGCAGAGGTAGTGAGGGAGAGAGGGAGAGAGGAGGGAAGGAAACATTTGGTTGTTTAGGTAGATAAAAAGAACGTTTAAAAAGTATAATAAAGTCCAATACTTATTTGGGCTTATATCAATTTACAGCATTGTCATGCTTTTCTGTTACAAGAATAGACATTTGGGGTCATCGTCATCAATCATCATCAGCCATAATCAATCCACTGCTGGATGAAGGCCTCCCCAAACCATTGCCATCTCGCATGGTCCTGCGATGCAGCAATCTGCCGTGTTCTTGCCCGTGAGCCGATCTCATTGATCCGTCTCTGCGGCGTCAGAGGATGTCCCCCGTGACGCGTGTTTTACTTCGGCTGCCTCTCCGTCGTTTTTCTCGCCCACCGGGCGTCATCCCTTCGAGCGACGTGACCTCCGAATCGGATCTTTATTTTGCCTTGAGAAATCCGATGAGCTACGAAGCTCTTTTTTTCCGCAGACGTCCACTGGGGGCGAAAGTTACAATAAACAATGCAAAAAAAACCGAAAGGCGTGCAAAGTATAGGAAAGGTAAACAAATCACAAAAAATAAGCCACCTGCCCAAGCCCACTTCATTTCTTAACAAGCAAAAAAAATACGTCTTGACCCTGTTGTGTGTGTGCCCTTGAACCTGTGTCTGTGCCCTTGAACCTGTGTGTGTGTGCGCTTGAACCTGTGTGTGTGTGCCCTTGAATCTGCGTGTGTGTACCCTTGAACCTGTGTGTGTGACCTTGAACCTGTTGTGTGTGACCTTGAATCTGTGTGTGTGTGCCCTTGAACCTGTGTGTGTGTGCGCTTGAACCTGTGTGTGTGCCCTTGAATCTGCGTGTGTGTACCCTTGAACCTGTGTGTGTGCCCTTGAACCTGTTGTGTGTGCCCTTGCACGTGTGTGTGCCCTTGAACCTGTGTGTGCCCTTGAATATGTGTGTGTGCCCTTGAACCTGTGTTCCTCTCCCTCTGTATCTCAGTGTAATCCCAAGCATACACCCCTTTATACTTCGCGAACATTTGTAGCATTTGTTACATCTTCTTCATAATTGTTTGTTTCTGACATAGCAGGTAATATGCAATGATTCAGCATTTTAATCTTTAGACACACTGGCATGTTGCTTCACATTATGTCAAGGTCAGCTTTCCAAAAGCACTCCAATCTGCTCTCATGCATCTCTTTATTTCATCATTTTGCTATTAGTCTGAAAAAACTTATACATATTTTCTGTGATCGTTTATTACAACCTGTTGAGTACAATTTTATTTTGCTCGTATTTATCTTGAGCCTAACGTTGCAGCCTTCGTCATCACGTTTTTCTCGCGTTTCCTGTAGTTCATTCCTATCGCACGATACAATAACTATGTCGTTAACAAATCGAGACGGTTACTGTGCTCTCAAAAAAGACGGAGAAAATTATGTCAGCATTAAACTAGCGATGTTCATGTCTGCGTGCAATAGTTGGACAAATGATTGTTGCACTTTCCTTCAGCTTCACCAATCATGAGTTTCAATTCAGCCTCAGAAAAATATAAAACAGGTACTCTATGTTGTGCTGTATAAACTTAATAAAATATTTAGGTCGGCTGTCCGAAAAATCAAGTAACGTATTATCAGTTCGATGTACTCAACTAATCAGATCAGACGAAACTCGTTGGAAAATAAAACATTTTGCGTGACTCTGGCCGGGATGGAATTGGCTAGACTTGATGACGTCACGAGTTGTCACACTGGGTATGGCTTGCCAGGGGTTTCCCACCTTGAAGAGGCACCATCAATCATAAAAAGTGGTTGACTGCAATGTTTAGTTTAATTTGTTGTTGTAAAATGAATCAACTTATCATCACAGCTCTAAAGATATACATATAATATAGATTCAATAACCTTCATTTGAAAAGGCGATCATTATGTGCTGCCATCCATGACCTATTTTTGAGAGTGACAATGTTAACATGTTTTTTTTTATCCCCTTTTTAATGGTTCCCTGAGGATGGACCATTTTGTGTTGAACTGGAAAGAATCTGTGGATGAATTTTGCTGAGCCAAATTTGGCTTCTTGATGATTATCTAACAACCCCCATGACCGACACAGCATTATTCCATTCTAGTAAAAAAATATATATCTGCTGATAATCAGCCTGAAGCTGGCTATAGACCAAACGAGACAAACAATGCGTCTCGTGCAATGGACCATGGAGGATGCCGAGGTAATAAAATACATTTTTTTACCGCAATTTGTGTTGTTGTTGCAAAAATAAACTGCTATGCACCAATTAAACAATAGCCTTGAAATAAAAAACAAAAAATGTAGTACAATAATTAGTCAAATCACATAATCAACCAGATGCTGCACGAAGGCCCTCCTCCATGCCGTATCGGTCATTCGAGCTGTCTGAGAATGCTTTGTGATGCCGGTCAGTGCGGATTGGTGAAGTCACCACGACGCCTGCCACCACCGGTTCGCAAATCACTCACCGCTGCTGTTCGGGGGACGGTGACACGGCCCAGCTCTTGCACGCTCGCCAATTGTTGCAGAAATTCACCGTTCGAATCCAAACGGCCGCCCTGATTACAACTGCGGGTGTATTAGTCGTTTGAAAACAATGCACGCCTTCCGCTTCACTGTGGTCGTTTAAGACGTCGTTTGTAAGAGTATGACCATTGTGCGTGGCGACGTCATCGGATACAGTTTCCAGATGCTCGAAAATTACCGGCATCGTTACTCAACTGGGACTTCTTCTTTCGTGTGGCATTTTTGACGATTGCAACAGATTACAATTTGATGTTCAGATGTGATATCCACTCGACTGCTTCAGGATTTTTCTTCCTAGGTAGTAAGTGTTATTTTCCAATTGCTTATGCCTCAAAAGTATAGAAAATGGCTATTATTACCCACAAACTTTGCTTTTGTGACCAGGACTTTACGTGAAGGAAAGATACAAATGCACACCACGTTTTCTCATTGAAAATAGGTACATTTCAAAATATCAATGTCCCAGTCACAAAAGCAAAGTTTGTGGGGAATAATAGCCATACTCTTTGGTTCTATTCGGTAAAGTCACGTAGGTAAAAAAAAACATAAAACAACAATAATCACGACGTTTCGGCCACATCTAGAATAAATAATAGCCATCTTCTGTATTTTTGAGGCATAAGCAATTAGGAAATAATACTTACTACCCAGGAACAAAAAATACATGTTTTTGTTACACAGTGAATTATTGGATTGGGGAAGTCGT